AGAGAGATGAAATGAGATGAGATAAGAGATGAGATGAGTGCAATCCACGGGGCGAGAAGAGAATATGAATGCATAAAAGCAAGTCATGTGCTCCGCTTTTCCATCATTTTTGGGCAGCAATTGAGGTCATGAAAGCATGCGAGACGGGAAGCGTTTTATCTCTATGTCTTTGCGCACAAGAGGGGATCGGATGGATGAGTACAGACAGCTAAAGGCTTGAAAGGATCCCAGGACAAGATGGGGTAGCTCGGAGGAGAAGGTGGAGCAGGAAGCTTTGATAGCTCGGAGGAGAAGGTGGATCAGGAAGCTTTGATAGCTCGGAGGAGAAGGTGGAGGATCAGGATCAGAAAGCTTCGATAGCTCGGAGGGATTCTGCGCTAACTCCGTCGAGTGGCATGCTCCCTCGGTCAGGAAGAGCTCGTTTGGATATTGAGACTATAGACAGAAAAGATGAGCAGTAAACAACAAGTTCTTTCTGTACAACATCCGTGTATATTGTGAAAGGGAATATGATATCTTTCCTATCGATTTGATATTGTGTTTATGGTCTTAATACCGTCAAAACCTTTTTGCTGTGCCCCGCTTATTTATTTCGATGTACCTCCCTCCTCCCCCGTATGCTTGGCATTATAGGGTGGGGGCAGGAGAGAAGAGGAGGGGAGAGGGGAGAGGAGGGGACCTTGAGGTGCGAGTTCGCATAGTCCCGCCGGTGGTTGCGCGATGAAGGGATGAGGAGAGGAGGAATTTCAAGAGAGTCGTACATCTCCCTCGTCCTATCATGCGGCAAAGAAATCTGTGACGGGTTGTCATCCTTGACGACGATGTTCTCCTCATCAAGGGCTTCTAGGATCTTCTTCGCCTTCATCCGCCTCTCCGCCCCTGGATGCCCTTCAGCGCCATCCGCCTTGCCCTCCGCTCTCTAGCACTTCGCTCTTTTCTCTCCCCCTCCCCTCCCTCCCTCTCCTGGCTTGCCCTCTCTCCCCCATCGAAGATGACATACCTGGACTGATCAATCTCGCAGCCAAGTTGATTAACACACAGCCGCTGCAATGCTGAAGGCAAAACATGAAAAGGCTCCCGTCCGAACTGCCGACTCACCGTGCACCAGGAGCTCTGGCATGCCGTTCGCTTCCGCACGTCCTTCATCACCTCGTCCACTTTGATCCGATCCTAAGGCTCAAATGTCACGACGCGGTCGAACATCAGATGTTTCCGCTCACTGACCTTGACCAGCTCCGAGTGCGAGAAGAAGGATCTTGCATGGAATCGTTCCTCCATGAGCGACCCCGTCAGCATCTCACACGCCACACAGCCGAGGTGAAAGCAATCTGCATGCAGCTCCTCAGACCAGCTCGTCACCCCCCAGCCCTCTTCACCTAGATCTTCTCGCGTCATGCGCAAACCTGAGCTTGTCCTCACTGCTGGCCAGCATCAGCTACGACAGGAGAGCCAACACACGTCAGCTGGCGAACCTTGATCGCTCTCGTCGTCCGCACTAGCAAGGGAGTCTTTCAGCCCAACGTCGGCAAGTTTTGCTTGACCAGAGGAGGTCAAGAGGATGTTGGATGCCTTGACGTCGCCATGCACCAGCCCGATCACATCGTGCAGGTAACACAGAGCGTTCACCGCGTCTCTCAGCACCCCTCTCGTCGTCTCAGTCGACAGGAACGGTCTCCTACCATCCTCCTCCTCCTGCAGGCTAGTCTTGCCCTTGTGCTGGAGCTTCTTATGATACTTGAGGAGGTCAAGGACGCTTCCCTTGTCACACCACTCGCACACCACCTGCACTCCCAGGCGGATCCCCTTGTGCTCGTAGGGGACTGCGTTGTAGTACTTGACGACGTTAGGGTGCGAGAGGTGCCTCAAGTTGTTGAGATCCTGCGCGAGGCCTTCTGCCTTCCTTGCGGATGAAACCAGCTTGTACTTGATCACTATGTCCGTGATCACCTTAGGGGGCAAGATCTTTCGAACGAAGGCAGACGCGTGCCGTATGTCCTTCAGGCACAAACGTGCTGTACCCCAGGTCCCCTCAGTCTCCTTGGAGAAGATCGTCACGCCGTCGAAGCAGTCCAGGAGGAAGGGGGCACCGCACCAGTCCTCCTCCATGGCGGCACTTGTCGCACTATCAGCGCCAGCAAGTCGCCTTCCCATGGTCCTTCACTCTTCACGATGATCCTCCTGATCTCACTCCAACAACAATCTCCATGCTGCGCTCCTGCGTCTTCTTCGCTCCTCCTCCTCCTACCCTCCTCTCCCTGGCCGGAAATTATGCTGCATTTAGCGAATCCTTGAATTTTCACTTAACTCCAATATACAATTACTTGTAAGAAGTTGGGTCGAAGCGGGGATGGGGGTTATCGGCCGTTGGAAATGGCGGAGGAAGAACAGTGTCAAGGGGGGAGGAGAGAGGAGAGGAGAGGAGAGGAGAGGAGAGGAGAGGAGAGGAGAGGAGAGTTGATCTGAGGGAGGGGTCTTGTGCTAATCATCTATCACCATTAGACCAATCGCTTCAGTGCCGTACCGATCGGAGACCCTGTAGCTGCCATGACTCATTCATCCGCAGATTGATCTTCATCGCATGACATTCAGGACTCTCTGTGTTTGATACTCGTTCGACGTTGCGATTGAATCTTTCCGGCCATGGCTGCAGCAGAAGAAGAAGCGATCAAGGACATTGTTCAGGTGCGACAACCTACGATCTTATCTTGTCTGATCGTCGTCCCGTAGAATGATGAGCAGGAGGCAGCTCCGGCAGAGGAAGGTTGTCCTTATACAGACATACTCTTCTTGTTCCCATCATGATCTTCACCAGCTGATCTCTCGCCCTCAGGTGCAGAGCAGGATCAAGCCGCGCCGCGCTCAGGTCCTTGAAATCTTCTCCTTGCAAGGTTGATCGTGACATGCTGTCAAGGCGACCAGCAAGAAGCTGCTGCAGCAGAGGAGCCAGCACAAGAAGCTCAAGGTCTCCCAGTCCTCCACTCATCGCCTGGTCATCTCTCCTGCAGGAGAAGAAAACGCTGAAGTGAAGGAAACGAACGCGGCAGATGGAGAGGCCGGTGAACGCCAAGACCCTTCACTCTTGTTGCCTTGATGATAAAGACAGGAGGGGATCCGCCTAGTGCTGCTGAAGGAGGAGGAGCAGGAGGAGAGGAAGCCGAGACGGCTCCTCCCGCTCCAGGCGACGAGCAGGCTGAAGCAAAGGAGGGAGAGGAAGAGGGTGAAGGTGAGCAGGTTCTGATTGCTTCCTGCGGTGATGATGGATACAGGAGGAAATTTGCCTCAAGTTGCGGCACCAGAGGAGGGCGAGGAGGCGGCAGAATCGGCCGCGGAGGGAGACGAACGAGGAGGAGGGGAACCTGAGGCACCTCCAGGTTATGAGAAGGAAGGGGAGGAGGAGCTTGAGAGACTGAATATGTGAGCAGAAGGAGATGGTGGTAATGAAGACAAGGGCGAAGGAGGAGCAGGCAGCAGATAGATGGTGCCGGTTGCCCTCGCTGATGTGAATACAGGGGAAGAAGTCGAAGGAGGAGGCGAAGGAGGGCAGGAGACGGATGCTCAGCCTGAAGGGGAGGGAGGGGAAACTGCTGCTGCTGGAGGGGAGCAAGACCCTGCAGGAACAGAGCAGAGGGACTGCTGGGAGGAGGAAGTGTGACGGTTCTTTCCAGGGGAGGAAGGGGCTGCGAGCGATGAGCCTGCAGGAGGTCCAGACGAGACGGGAGGAGGGGAAGAGGGGAGAGCAGAGCAGTTGGAAGAAGGAGGAGGTGAGGGTGAGCGGCATCGAAGTGCGAGGAGGGAATGACAGCGTTGTAGGCGATGGGAAGCAAGAGGAGGAGCCAACGTTCGAGGAGGTCATGGCACAAGGCGCTGAGCAGGTCCTTTCCTCACCCTGCCCCCGCCCCTCTTCCCTGCCCTGACGCCCATCACAGGCCATGGAGGAGGAGGGAGAGGACAGAGGCGGCTACGACCTGGACAAGATGGTAACTCCACTTCCTGCTCGACTCCAGCAGACTCTGTGGGGCAGGTGGACGCGGCTCTGGACAAGAACTCTCAGGTCATGAGCAGGGCCTCAGCTGGGAAGGAGCAGCTGAGAATCTCCGACTCGGACCTCCCCCTGTCCCAGCCGGCGAGCAGAGCAGAGCAGGGGCCCAGCGCCTCGTCCCAGCAGCTCAAGAGCAGGATAGCCCAGCTGGAGGCTCAACTGGAGGTCACCGAGCAGGGGAAGGAGAGGGCGGAGACGGAGGCGTGGGAGAGGCAGGAGGAGATGACGCGCGTGCTGGCGCAGAAGGACGCGCTGCAGGTGACTCCTGACTGCCGTCCTGCCTGCGTGACAAGGAGCAGGCGGAAGTGAAGGCGCTGCGAGGACAGATGGACCTCGAGCTCAATGCCCGGCGCGAGGCTGCTGACAGGATGTGGGCTGGTGAGGAGGAGGAGGAGGAGGAGGAGGAGGAGGAGGAGGAGGAGTATGGAGGTCTGCTGTGATCTGAGCAAGGCGTGCAGACATGAGTGAGGAGGCTGTGCACGACGGCGGGAAGCCCAAGGAGAGGATGCAGGAGCAGGCTCCGAGCGCGAGCATGAAGGAGGAAGACTCCGACTTCATCGACCCTCCTCGTTCTCGGTATCATCATCAGCCCTTCACGTTCGGCGAAGACGATCAACTTCACCTGCTCCCCCAGCATGCTGGGATGGAGGAGCAAGAACATGGGGGGATGCCTGAGGAACTTCCTGGAGGAGCAGAGGCAGGAGCTGCAGCTGGGGCTGGGGCTGGGGCTGAGGGAGCGTACGGGGGGAGCAAGGGAGCCGGGGAGAGGTTGAAGGAGGTGAGGCGTGGAGGAGCGTGAGGGAGGGGGAGGGAGAGCTGAGGGGAGGGCGGCAGGAGCTGACGAGGAAGAACGAGCTGATCCTCGAGCTACGGATCCAAGTGAGTGACCCCGAGGTCGGGGGACGGGGATGACGGAGAGGCTGTAGGTCGGTCAGCTGGAGACTCAGCTGAGGAGCGCGCAAGACATGAATCAGTTCCGCTCTGAGATGGAGATGGAAAGAATCCGCCAGGTGACTCGGAGAGCGTGTTGCCCTCCTCTCCGTCCTCTCCCCTCCGTCCTCTCCCCTCCGTCCTCTCCCCGTGCAGTTCCCTGGATCCACCTTCGACACCTCGCCACCATCACTCCCTCACTCACTCTCCCTCCCTCTGACGTTCGGACAGGACGCAGAGTGGCAGCGGAGGATGGCGATGGAGGAGATCGCAAGGATGCGGCACGAGCTTGAGATCGCCAATGCAAAGAAGGCTCGTCTGAAGGAGCTGCTCGCTGATAACCTGCACGAGCTGCGCGACCAGAGAAGACAGACGGAGCTCCTAAAAACAAAGATTTCCGGGCTCTTCGGTCTTTTCTCCCCCCTTCCTCTTCCTCCTGCCCCGCTCTCCTCTCCTCTCCTCTCCTCTCCTCTCCTCTCCTCTCTTCTCCTCTCCTCTCCTCTCCTCTCCTCTCCTCTCCTCTCCTCTCCTCTCCTCTCCTCTCCTCTCCTCTCCTCTCCTCTCCTCTCCTCTCTGGTTTGACTTTCCTCCCGCTCTCTTCCCTCTTCTCTCCTCGCCTCCTCCCTTCCTCCCTCTTCTCACTGCAGCGCAGGCAAAATGGAGAACATCACCCGCCAGTTCGTGCAGGAGCAGAGCTTCCTGCGAGACTTTCAGGTGCGAGGAGAGGAGTGTTCTGGTCAAGTCTCGTCCTAACGCGTGTGGGTCAGAACGTGAGACAAAGTATTGACGAGATCAAGAAAGAATCCGAGATGCAGGTAACACTGCCCTCCTCCTTCTCCCTCCCTTCTCCCCGTCCTCCTCCTCCTCCTCCCTCCCTACTCTCCGCCCCCTCCGTCATCCTCTCTTCGTACTCCCTGACCCACTCGTCCTCCCTTCCTACCAACTTCCCTTCCTTTCCCACCACCTCTCCCCTTCCCCCTTCCTCTCCCCTTGCTCCTACCCTTGCCCTTGCCCTCCTCCTCTCCTCTCCTCTCCTCTCCTCTCCTCTCCTCTCCTCTCCTCTCTCCTCTCCTCTCCTCTCCTCTCCTCTCCTCTCCTTGTTGTGATGGTGATCCTCCTCAGCTCCAGGCTCTTGACCACAAGCACAAAGATTTTGTCAACGCGATGCGGGCGGACATGCAGGAGGAAAACTCGTTGCAGCAGGGAGCCAGGGAGCTCCGAGAAGATTTCGAGGAGGAGGAGGAGAATCAGCCGCGCGGGCCGCTGGGCCCTGGGCTGGCTCCTCGTCGGAGGCAAGACGGGATGAAAGGAGGAGAGAGGAAAGGAGGGAGAGGGCAGGGGATGCCTGAGGGAAAGCAGAAGATCTCGCCATCAAAGAAGGTGCTTGTCTCCTCTCCAGCCTCATATGATGAATGACAACGCCTTCCCCTCCCCTTCCTCGCACTCCTCTCTCGCTATCCCTCCCTACTCCCTCCTCTCCCTCCTCTCCCTCCCTCCCGTCCCCCTCCTCTCTCTTCCTGTCTTGCAGCCGACAAACGAGGGCGCTGGTCAGCTCAAGAAGGAGGAGGGCCTGATACAGCACGGAGAGAGGATGGAGCAGCCGTTCCCGATGCTGCAGCAGGTTCTGCATCCTTGTATCCTCCCTTCACGTCTGACGGAGCAGCAGCGTCCCATGTTCGGCTTTCCCATGCCCATGGCGAATTTCTTTTCGATGCCGCACGTGCCTGGGGATCCGATGATGATGCCGGAGAAACAGCAGGGAATGGGCCACGAGAACCCCCAGATGAGGAGAGGAGGGATGGATCCCCCCTATGATGATCCCCACATGTTCAACAACTTTCCTCCCGGCTACCCACAGGTCCACTCCCTCCCTCCCACTCCCTCCCTCCCTCCCTCCCCTCCCTCCCTCCCCCCTTGCCGCTGCTACCTGCAAGACGTCATCATGTAACCTTTCATGTCAGATGCCGATGCTCGCAAACCCTTTCGGGATGCCAGGGCAGCTGGCGAGCGCAGGCAAGGACGGCAGAGAGGAGGAGGAAGCTTCTCATCCCCCCGCAGGCCTGCAGCACATGCCCAACGCTGGAGATCCGCAGTTGGGTTCTCCTGCTCGTCGGATGAACGCCCATCCGCTCGATCCGGACATGCAGCAGTTCATGGAGGACGACTGGTGGAGGGCCCCCGGTGAAGCACAGAGCCAGGAGCATGCAGGTACCTCGTTGCTCGATGGAGACGCGTCACTGTCCTCTTACCCCTGTGCTCCAGCAGGGAAACCTCAGAGCTTTCTTCCTGCCATCGACGGAGGAGGCCGAGGGAACAAAGGAAGGACTCCTCCCCCCGGCAAGAAGGACGCGTCTCGTGCACAGCAGAACAGAAACCCGGCGAGGAAGAAGTGATCCTCACTGAGCAGTAGGAGCCACTGCTGGGCAAGTCGATGACAGTGCTCCATTGTTGGTGTATCAGTAGCGGAAAGAAGACTTGTACGGTAACTAAGTAGTAAAGCCTTTGACTCATGGCAGTTTACTAGCGTACAGTTCTAAAGCTGCCCGTCGCCGCGGGCCGGGCAGCCGCTGGACCAGAGTCGGAGCCTCTGAGCCTCAGTGGCCCAAGTCACTGTCGGAGTTTCGGCCGGGGCCGGCCCCCGGCCGCGGCGGCAGTAGTGCGCCGGCGGGCCGCCGTACCGGGACCTGAGTTCTGAGAGGCCCCTCGTCCCCCTACTTTCCGTTCTACACCTCTACCAACGTGTACCAAGAACAGTGGGGGGTTATGACCCCTACCCACTATCTGCAGAGAATCAGCAATTCAACCACCCCCTCCACAAAGCGTAACCCCACCCATGAAACTCTGTGGTGTGAAGTGACCCATGGTAGGCGAACTCACCCACCCCTCCCTAATGCTACCAAGGACCCCCACTCAAAGCTACCCCACCATATCCATTGGTACAACCCCCCAACCAAGCCCAAGAGGAATCGATTTCTTGGCAATGCACCGGTGGTTGGGTCAGAGGGGCGCGGGGATGCGAAGGGGGATGGGAGGCGGTAGAATATGAAGTGTGCGATGGAGAGGAGATGGCAGAACATAGGGCTGGAAGAAGAGTCGAGGCAACACAAGTGCTTGAAAATTGCATGAGCATGTGATATATGTGAGTTAAGTGGTTGTAGATGTTGTACATGCAAGAAATGTGAACTAGAGGAAGAGGAGAAGGAAGAGGAAGAGGTCAACATGATGGGCACTTCATAGACAGGGAACGTTCGGTGATGTTGTGTTCTACTAGATAGTTACTTGTTGAGGTTTTCCTTGTCTGGGAAACAATAGCTAGAGAAAGAATGCTTATCTGTCCACATGCATTCCGCCTTCCTTTTTGTGACCGAGCAACGATGCAACCAACTCTGTGTTTCGTCGAAGTGACCATTAGTTTTTCAGAAGTATATAGTTCTGCACTGGCGTCGAAGCTTGGAACGAATGTACCTTGTGCGAGCGGAATAGTTCTCGCAAGGAGGTCAGGCAATACCAACCGTCACTTTCAGGCGACTTGGAACCCGGGACTGAGCATCTTGTCGTTTCTCTCTCCTCCTGAACAGAGCCCTTTCATGTCCTAGTGAGCGGTCGAGACACCAAGATATCCTCATGGGGGTACCATCCTGTCCTACCAGCCACTCCTCCGAGGTAGTGCACTACCAGCACAGGACAGTTGAAGATCGTTACCTCACCGCTCTGGCGGGGGCTGCAGCTGGTGTATGCGCATCCTTCTGTGTCTGCCCTCTCGATGTCGTGAAGACAAGGCTGCAGGGTCAGATTCACTCGCACTCTTCCATTGTGAAGTACAGAGGGACTGTGGACACCATCCATACCATCATGAAGGAGGAGGGGGTACGGGGCTTGTACCGGGGGCTGAGCCCGACCCTCTTGGGGATGGTTCCGACCTGGACGACGTATTTCACAGCCTACAACTTCTTCAAGTCGATGCTCGAGACCAATGATCGGCAGGAGGGGCTGCAGTTCTCAAAAGGACAGATCTTTGTGCACATGCTCTCTGCCTGCGGAGCGGGGATAGTGACTGCCACCGTGTCGAACCCATTCTGGGTCGTCAAGACGAGGATACAGATGTTCTCTCGGCACTCCTGCCCCTACCGCGGAACCATGGATGCTTTCCTCAAGATCCCAAGGGAGGAAGGGATCGCTGCCTTGTACAAGGGTCTTGGCCCATCGCTGCTCGGTGTCTCGCACATTACAATCCAGTATCCCATGTATGAGCGTCTCAAGCTGGAGCTGGCGAAGAGGCAGCGGGTACCTATCGACGAGAATTTCCACACAGAGCTGGGGGTTCCGTCGCTTGTAGCGGCGGCTGCAGGTTCCAAGATATTTGCGAGCGTCTTCACTTATCCGCACGAGGTGGTAAGAACGAGGATGATCATGGAGTCTGACGAGAAGTCTGGGCTCCTGTTGCAATATGTGAAACTGTGGCGGGAGGCTGGGATTCGAGGACTGTATCGAGCGTTCTTCACGAATGTTTTCAGAGTCATCCCTTCGTCGGCTGTCACGTTTGTATCTTACGAGTTAGTCTACAACTGGCTGGTTCACTGCTATGGCAAGGACAAACAAGAGAGCGTCCAGCGTGTCAAGAGCAACAAGGACAGTGTAAAGTAAGGATGTTGCTGACAGAGATAGGCAAGATCCCCTGCTCCAACGCGTCGGGATGACAGATCCGGGATACTCGTCACGCTTGTATCAAGTCATTATTCGTTACTATTTTTTCCTCATGAATAAAGAAAGATTAACAAACTCTCGTGAAGACGATATCATCTGTTTCCAGCCTGTTTCTTCTATTTGACCGAGCTGTGAAAACTGATCGGGATCATACAGTCCAAGGAGGGCATGCATCCCAAATAATACAGTAGGTTATTGTGAAGAGAAACTCAGGATAAGGGGAGCTGGATGGCTCGATTGACGTCTCGCAAAAAATGTGGAGAAAAGTGCAGGGAAAGGAGCGAGTCGGTGTTCAGCAGAGGACAGAGGTCGAGTTGTCATGGAAGGGGAGAGTAGGATCTGGTAGGAAAGGTGGTTGTGAAGAAGTATCAGGGAGAGAAGAGCGGGAGGGTGGGGCAGGGCCCCAAGGGTGCAAAAGCAGTAACTAGAGACATGCGGCAAATTTCAGCAAAACTAAGGTACAGGGAGAAGGAAGAGGGGGTTCCGAGAATGCATGGGAGACCTGAGGTCAGAGAAGTTTTGATAATAGGAGAAGAGGAAGAGGAGGAAGAGAAGAGAAGCGAGGGGAGGGAGAGAAGACAAGCGAGGGGAGAGAGGAGAGAGAAGAGAGGAGAGAGGAGAGGAGGGGGGAGGGGGGGCAGAGGAGGGGAGGAGGAGGAGAGGAGGTGTCGGGCAGGAAGAGCACGAAAATGTCGGGTGAACGAATGGGGTACTATGGTGGGTACATGAAAACTTCGGTAATTGGACATTTCTCATATCTTTAGTTCAAAAAATCCAGTGTAATATTGAATTTAACTCAATGAACTCCATGAATAGCTTGAAATATCTGAAAAGAAGTGCAACGCCGGATTTTTTGCTTTACAGTCGTAGAGCAGGGTGGGGTGTTGGGCTACTCGAAATGCACTGCCTTGTGCTGAACGCGACGATGGAGCCGCTGGTGGTTGTGACAGCACAGGTGATGTCATGCATGCAGTACACGTGCAGTAGACATGCTGGGAGGCGAAGATGCTGGCAACTGTGAGGCAGAGCGAAGATTGTACGATATGGCATTATGAGAAGAAGGAGCGAAACTGCGTCTTGCGGTAGTGTAGAAAGCACAGTGCTCGGAGGTTGGCGGCAAGGGAGGGATTTCTGTCAAGGTTGTTCTCAACACTCTCGTGATGATTATCTCTGTGTGCAGAGAGGTGTCAAACTGCTTGTTCAAGGGAAGGCCAGGATGGTCCAGAGTGTTTCGGTGCGACCCTTGCTTCAAAAGTTCTCCACCATGTCATTACGAGGACAGATACACCGCGAGACGCCAAGTCAGCAGCAGACGCCATCGAGCTTTGAGCTGTTGTGAGAGTGATGGAGACGCAACACCCGTGAGGTTGACTCACAAGTGATGTGATCCAGGTGGAGGAGTGTAGACAACGCAATGCCGGTGCCATCCGTCATCATGCTTCAACAATTCGTGAAGCTGGATTGTGATTGCATGGCATGTGAACTCTTATTAGTCAGTGACACATGCACTAGTCAAACCCAACTCCAAGAGGAAGCTGTCCCTTCTCCGCCCGAGCAGAGGCTCTGTACAGCTTCATTGCGCACCACCGCCACTAATAGGAGCTGTCAGATTTTTGCAAGGGACAACAATACCTGCCAGTACTGCGGGTCCCCGGCGACAACCTTGGATCACATTGTTGGAGTTGCTTGATCTCCGAAAGACGTGTGCTAAAAGACACTCAGGTTCCCAAGTCGAAGGGTGGGCAACACTCATGGGAGAACCTGGTAGCGGCCTGCTCCTCGTGCAACAAGAAGTGTGTTCAAGGATCTTTGGCTGGCCCTTGCTTGCTCATGTTCTCGTCCGCAGGAAGGGAAGTAGATTGCTCAGCGACATGAGAGACGATAAGTTCAAGCTGATGGATAAACCGAAACACCCTGGGCCCTGGAACATCATGGTGAGTCGTTCTATGTGGCATGCGGTACTCATGCTGAAACTTGTCACAGCGACTGAGACTCTTAGCGCAAGCGCCGAAGGATGGGAGGTAAGGAAGAGAAGCGAATCAGGGAAGTGAACTGAGTGCCTTGCCGCTGGGACCGCAGTTGGTTGAGGTTTTTCGGATAGTAAGAAGCGAGTAGGAGCAATGCACCTGTCACAGCCCGATCGCCGCTGATCTGTGGTATGCTGAAGTAGTCCGGACAGTGGGGGAGACGGAGGACAAGATCGGTCCGCATAACAGGATGGAGGAAAGAGGAACGGCAGAACATCACCGGTTGAGTGAGAACTTTTCATGTATATTGCCACAAGTACTTTTAAAAAGCATCGAATGTCGTTGAGAAGAAAATGGAGTTAATGATGACAGCTACGGTGTCCGAAGAAGATAGATCGAGAGTTGTCAAGCCACTTCCAGCAACTTCCAGCGAGGACGAGCGGAGGGGTAGAGAGGGGGGTGCACCGAGGTGGGCAGGAGGAGACGGGGACGGTTTGGAAAAGGCATACATAGGATGGAAAAAAAACGAAACGGGAGGAGAACAGAGATCATCCGTTGAACGAGGTCAAAATCTCTTCTGCTCTCTTCTTTCGATGGGCCTTGAGGGTCAACCGCTCTTCCTACCAGAATCGATGATCAGCTTTTCCCATTCCTTCCTCTTCCTACCTCCACCTCGTTTCCTCCTTCTTCTCCCCTCCTCTCTTTCCCTCGCTTCTCTTCTTGCTCCGCTCCTCTCGTTCATTTCATTACACCTTCCCTCATTTCGTTCCTTTTCTTTCCCCTCCCCTCTTTTCCCTCCTTCTCTTCCTCCTCCCCTCCTCTTTTCCCTTCCTTCCCTTCCTCCTCCCCTGCTTCAGATTTACCTGTCGCTTCCTGAGCTCCTGCATGACGATCTCCACATGATCGTTGTAGCTTCTCTCAGCAATCGAGCTCCTCATGGAGCTGCGAGCTCGTCAGACCAGCCCTGGACGGGGAGGAGACTTCACCTGACTTCCGCTAGCGTGATCACTTCTTTCTCCTTTCTCGCGCTCTTCAGCCTCTGCGCCTGCATAGAATCACACTTCATCTCCTCCTCCTCATCATCATCATCATCATCATCTTCACCACCACCACCACCACCACCACCACCACCACCATCAGCATCATCATCAACAACAACAACATCATCATCATCAACATCATCATCATCATCATCAACATCATCATCATCATCATCATCATCATCATCATCATCATCATCATCATCATCATCATCATCATCATCATCTATCTCCTCCTCCATCTCCTCCATCTCCTCCTCCTCCCCGCCCCTCCCAATTCAGTTCCTCTGGTGTTTACCTTGCCCAGGACTGGAGTAGAACCGCCGTCCTTGCGAGCACTCGGCGGCCTTCCTCCCCCACTTCCCGCGTCAGCCAACGCCCCGCTCGACCGACTCGCCACCTGGAGTTCTTGTCAGCTCACCAGCAGGGAAAGATACGAACAACAACATGAAACGAGTCCGCAGCGCTGGATTGCGGAGACTTTGAGTTTCTGAGTGAAGAAGAGTAAGTCAAGCCGGAGGAGGAGGTCAGAGACACAGGTGCGGGTAGAGGAGGATGGGAGCGGGGAGGACGAGCAGCAGGGCAACACGGGGCTAAAAAGGTGAGGACTCTGAGTTGGAAGGAGGAGAAGGCGGGGGGGGTGGTGGGGAGGGGGGGGGGGCGGAGAAGGAGGAAGAGGAGGAAGAGGAGGAAGAGGACAAGAGAAGTTAGGAGGATGAACCTGCCAGTTTGATTCTTCCTCGACAGCAAAGTCCCCAGCGATCGATTCCTCAGCATCGGATTGATCGTCTCCTGCTCGCACATCAGACCCCCCCGGCACCCCGTCGCACGCGCCACCTGCGTCGGCTGGACCACCATGGAGTTGCGCTTGTGTGCTCGGTCAACGTGAACTTCCAAGGGGGACGCTACCCCGGCTGGTAGGGGAGAAGAGCGGGGAAGGTGAGGGGACTCGCCTCTTAGGCTGCCCTGCTTCTGAAGAGGAGACTTGCCGCCTGCAAGGCCTGACACCTGCTGGGCTTGCCTTGAAGGAGAACTCGTTATTCCCTCTCATACCGGCTCCTCCTCCTCTCCCTCCACCCTGACCCCCACCACACCAACCTTCCCCCGCTGCCTTCCTTCTACAACCCCTTCTCCTCCTACCTCAGGTACGTCTCCGACACAGCAGGAGCCTCGCTCCCCGCAAACGCAGGCATCCTCTGCTGCCAGTACGTCTCCTCCGCTGACGTCTGCATCCACTGCCCTGGCGGCTTTCGGACCATGTCCGGGTAGACGATCTTCAACACGTCGATGAGGCGGTACGCGAGCAGCGTCGACTCCTCCTCTGCCTTGGGGGCTTCGCTGTCGTCCGTCACCTCCTTCTCTCCTTCTCCTCCCTCCTCTACCGCTGGCTTCTGAATCAAGCTAAGGACGGGAAGGAGTTCGCCGGCCAACCCGCCAGTCGTGCAGATGTTGATGTTGGCACGCAGGGTGTCGGAGGGCATCTTGAGGGTCGCGGCGACCTCCTTCCTGTCGATGCTGAACACCCAGACTTGATGGAGAGAGACGGAGGCGAGGAGGAAGATAGGGATCGTGGTCGGGCAGACCAGGTCGATTGCCCTGAGATGGTCATCCCGGTAGACGTGGTGTATGCTCCCGTCGACGGGGTTGTGGATGTAGATGGAGTTGTCCTGCTCAATAAGCATCATCAGCACAGGGAAGCACCAGGGGTGATCGGCAGACCTCGCTGCATGTGATCGCACGGACTGCCTCCTTGTCCGACGAGTACCCGGTGAAGGCGCAGCAGGTGACGGCGCCCTTGTGCTTCTTCAAGGTGGCGTGGTGGGAGTTCAGCAGGTTGTTCCAGATGATGCTGCTCCCGTTCTTCATCCCGATGATCAGCATGGCCGTCGTGTCGTCCATGGCGCCTGTCGTCACAAGGTTTGGCAAGGTAATAGACACGTCCGCCAACCCCTTCGCCTCGCTGCCCTCTGCGTCCTCCCACTCCTTCAACGGAATGTCGAACCTCTCGAGGATGTTGGTGCCGACGTTGACGATGTTGAGGTGACGACACTCTCTTCCTGTTAGCTCGCCGACTCTTCTGATCTTTGGCGCCAGCCCGAGAAAAAACATCTTCTTGCATTTTTCCCTGCTGCACTTGAGCCGCAGCACTCGCACCGGATCCTTCATGGTAGGCACTAGCTCCTCGCCCTCTGCTTCCTCCTTCTTCTCTCCACTGGCTTCAGAGGATGTGTTCTTAGCCTCTTCTTCCTCCTCGACAACGGGAACTTCTGGTAGGGCGATCCTGAATAGCTCAAGCTCCTCGGCTTCAGAAATCACCACGAACACAGTGCTGTCTGAGGAGAAGGCCAAATTCTTCGGCACTCCCCGTGTTTCGATGCTCAACAAGTGCTTCAAGAAAGGAGAGTCCTTCATCACCTGCAGGATGTTCACCTTGGAACGCAGCCCCACCGCCAGAGCCCTTCCATCCGAGCTCAGCGTCAGGCATGTAGCGGGTTCCCCCAGAACTATCGGCTCCCCGACCTGTGCTCCCCGCAGCGAGTTGATGCACTCAAGGGAGCCAGAAGACGTACAGACAAACACGAGGAGGCCATCGCTGCTGGCCTGTGATAGGATGATATCCTTCCGTTGGTGGTACTCGAACACTGCCGATACGCTATCGATCGCCTTCTCCTGCTCCTTGTCGTCCCTCGTCTGCTCCAGAGCCTCTTCCACCAGCGATCTGATCAGATTGTCTATCATCCGGTAAGGAAGAGGGAGACGAGGAGTTATGGTATCGGGATCCAAATATTCTCTTTTCATCGTTCGACTGTGATAGGTGGCAACAATCTTCTGATCACATCAGATCACTCTTACCGAAATAAAACATCTTGATGCCGTCGAACTCTTTCTTTGCTGCTGATTTCTGCTCCTCAATTACTTGTACGCCGCCATTCCCCTTTCTCCCCCTTGGCAGCAAAATGCCATGCCAAGCTGCATGCCAAGGTTTTTCTTCATTTTTAATAACTGACGTGGTCATAGCGGGGAAGAGGTATCACCTGCGGCGGCCGGGCGGCCGGGGCCCGGCCCATCCGATGATCCGAAGCAAGTTGCCGCCGGGCGGCGCCCCGCCGGACTCCCTGCCGGGCCCGGACTAGGAGGGGTTTAGGTTTAGGAATCCACTTAATAGATAAACGCCACGAATCTATCTACCACGGGTACTCTCCCTCATGATGTCACGGTGACGGAATATGTGAATACCCTTCTGAACGACGAACTAAGTTTTCGCACAGAACTGCCGTCGTATGATTGAGAGCCGCGACTCTCCGTCATACAACGGCAGTTGTTTTTTTTTTGCCAAATTGTCTTCGGATGTTGTTGGAGCCTTACATGAATCCTACCAAATGATGCCAGTCAGTCACTTCAATGATCACATGTCGTAAACATCGGATCATAATGGAGGCAGGCACCGGGCAGGCAGGCAGGCAGGGAATTAGGCATCGAGTCCCGAGGGACGCAGTCTGGGTAGGGAGGGGGCGACAACAATCATTGAATTCACCTCAGGGGCGACGTAGGTGATTCGGTCTTTCAGGAAACACATTGAAACAAGTGAGTATATTCAGTGCAGCATTCAAGTCCCTGGATTTGATCGGCTTTCCTTTACAGCTGTCACGATAACAGTTAGATGAAAAGGTGAATTACAGGAGTATACAAAACTTGATATTACCTCGATGATCTGCAAAATTTCAATCCTCGTACTTCACTTTTCCTTGTTTTCAACCTACAGGTCTCGTCTGGTTCGTTCCCTGTATTTTCAATCCGTCGAAGCACATCGAGCTCAGAACCACAATCGTTACAGCACTTGGTAGTACGGTATTCGTCAACATCTACGACTCTGTAGTGATTCTCGAATCTTCTTCTTATCCACCTGACCCGGCGGTACAGGCCTTTCTCCTCGACGTCCTGTAGACGGGAACCTTGCATTTCCATATGCGATAACAGGTTCTATTTCTCCCTTTCCTTTCATTGTACGGATAAACCTGTCGACTGACTTTCGTTTCGAAATGTAGATGTCGAATTTCATCCTGGCGTATTTTCGCTTTGAATAATGCGAAGTTAACTCCTCCCAATGACTTGTAACTGCAAGAAGATAGTCTTCGAATCTTGATAGACTGCCGCCAGACTTACTCGAGAACCCCTTGAGATAGTGCAATGTCGATTGAATATCTTGATCCCACGTCTTTCTTTTCTTTTTATTGCGATTCAGATGTGACTCGTGATAATATTGTTTTCTCGAAAACTGAAATCTTTTTCTGATTATTTGTTGATCATCTCTGAATTGTTCGACGGCCGATATAATGACGCTCCTCCCAGGGTCGATCGCAATTACCCTTGGGCAATTTTTACATTCTTCGATCTCTCTTTGGTATTCTGAATTTTCATGTAATACTTTGTATGATATTGATATCTTCTTCGCCGATTTCCGTTCAGCCCTTTTTCTATCGGCAAGCCATTTGGTAGTGCGCAATGAAGGTTCCTGTTCGAGTCCATCGATTGTTTTGATAATCAACGTGAAGCGAAAACAAACCGATACACCGTCTGTCGTGATACTTGTAATCTCCTCTCTCTGATCTCTGAACAGATTCGAACAGTCGAAAATCCTTCTGAAATTCCTAGAGTTCTCCAAAGTTTGATCTATTCTCATGAACGATTTTTTATCTTCTCCCGGTTTCAAACTGTTCGCTTCTTTCAAAATGTAATACATCACATCATTATCGATTGTTAGATGTTTTCTGCCGAATTTCGACATTGGTGCTGCCTTGAATGTTTTTTTCGAGAGACCACGATCTTCGAAGAACTTCAACATGAACATGTGTGTCTCGATTATCTCAAACAGATTTTTCTGCAACCTATGATCAAATTTGTCATATTTGAAACTAAAAAGATCTTCGTCCCCCGATAATCCAATTAGTTGTTTCATATGGTCGATGAAGGTTCCTATCTGCTGTGAATTATTCCTGTTAAACACTTCTGTCTTCAACTCGTAATCTTTCCTTTGAAACAATACATTCTTCACGTCTTCGATTTCTTGCTGATGGTTAATATGTAACTCTCCTTTGCAGAATTCGGCAATGAACTTTTCCAATCGGTTTGTAAAATTTGCTTTCAGGTCTTGGTAGAAATTCGTTCCATATTGATTTGCAGCGAATACAATAGCTTGCGAGTCTCCTCGAATTCTACATAAATCAACGAAAAGATGTCTTTTCTCTGACCAGAAACGTTGTAGAGTTGGATACTTGTTATCTGTACGGCTATGTTGTTCCATTCCAAGTGTAAAAACATTCCAGAAAAAGGTCGATTTGGCTCTCTTGATTTCATCTACTACATATCGTAAATTCCCTGTATCCCTGCCCCATATCAGAAAACAGTTGAATATCATACTGCCTCTTGATGTGATCTGACTGATATGTAATACCCATCTGTCGATCACGTCTAAAATCGATCTGTTCTCTACCTTGAGTCTCGAGTATAACCCACATTTGACGACTCTCGTGAATGGTTTTGAATAACTTATTTCTTGACCGTTGTCTGAATCATCTGTAATTCGTTTTCTCTTCCTCGGCATGTTATAGTATGTTAGTCTGGCGAAACCATGTTAGATAGCAGGTAGTCGCTACATTTTTTTCATTACCATCGTTTCAGTGTATTGTCGGACCGCAAACTCTGTAATGGCGGGAAGATGAAACGAGCAGTGCCACAAACTTTCCGTCGGAGGAGGGAAGATTTTTTTTTCTTTTTTAAGACCCTCATACAGCCCCATTGGATGGGTGATTGAAACCTATCAATGACCCCTGTCATGCTGGTCCAGGACTCCTTCGGGAGTCCTTTTGTCGATTAAAGGAACTTCGGCGTATGCACACCAGGTAAGGGTACCCCCTCAACAAATGCCCCCCTATACCCCACCTTTACAAAAACAGTACAGTGATGGGAAACGTACCGGTACTTGTTGACACCCCACCCCAAGGTAATACCCCTGCACTCCCGCTTTCGCTGCCATCGCTTCTGCCTCTGCCTTCGCCCCTGCCTCCTCGGGCCTCCCCCGCCTGGCCTCCTCCCGCCCTGCCACCTGCTCCCGGAGTCCCTCCGCATGCAGAGCGCTCCCACCAAGATCGAGCAAGAGGTCAAGCTCACCAAGGAGCTCTTCAACAAGCTCGACGCGGACGGCTCTGGCAGCATCGACATGGCCGAGCTCAAGGCTGCTCTCGGCAACAACCTCTCCGCCGAGATCCAGGCCCTCATGGCTCGTGGCGACATCGACGGCAACGGCGTCATCGACTACGCCGAGTACGAGCGCCTGATGAACATGCAGCGCTTCGATGATGCTCAGGGCGGCAACCTGTACGTGCGCAACGCGATCAAGTTCGGCCTGCTCAAGCCGGACTCGGTGCTGGCCGACTGCGTCATGGTGGGCAACAAGGGCTTCGATCCCCTCAACTGCGCCACCTCCATGGACGCGCTCAAGAACTACAGGGAGGCGGAGCTCAAGCACGGGCGTCTTGCTATGCTTGCGGCTGCTGGATGGCCCGTGTCGGAGCTTGTGCAGCCGTACCTGGCCAAGATGCTGGGACAGCCGGACCTTCTGGCTGCGGGAGAGAAGGCCCCCTCCCTGCTCAACGGAGGTCTTGACCGCGTGAACCCGGTTACTAGCTTGTCTCTCAATCCTATTTTGGGTCCCTTCCGAAGTTCACCGTGATCGAAGATCATGACCCCTCGCACGGCCTGTACGGTAGAATCCGAATCAAGTACCCCACCCTCCCCTTGACTTATACGGTCGTGCCGGTCACCCCACGGTCCGATCCGAGCCCAGGACTGAAAGGGACTGCCTGGGGTCCTGCCGAAATGACCCTCGGCGCCATGATTCCGAGTTCGTACGGTCGGGTATACACCCCTACCCCCAAAATCCCACGGTCAGCCCAATATTGTACTCTACTGAGGCCGCAGGGCCAGCCGGTGTGTGACGGTCCGATCACTCACCATTGTCATCAGTACCCCTGGGCCCCAGTCAGGATGGACCCTACCAAGTAAGGGGTACTAGTGTGACAAAGGGGATCGGATTCAACCCCCTCTCAAAAATAGTTCGACTACGGGTGGTCAAGGCACCCCACCCCACTGTTCTCCCGGACCTCCTATCCTTTTTTTCCCGATCTATTTTCGGAGAGCCCAGCGCGCCTTTCGCCATGCTCTCTGCCGGCGGTCAGCGCTACGACATGATTCGTCCGAATGAGGAAAGGTCAGTGCTCAAATGCTGGAAACTTCTTGTTGCACTGCCCCTTCATCTCCCTCTTCATGTCAAAGATGGCGATCTCATCTGTGCTGCGATTGGCTGACAGAAATGATGCGCGATTTCGAGATGAAATCGAGTTCGTAGTTTGTATCATGCATTGCCTGCTGTAGGAAAAGCAAAAGAAATGACCAGAAGTTGCACATCAAAATTATTAACACTGGCATGTTGTCAGGACATTTTCCAACAAGAACAGGATGCAGATGGTTGGTGCTGTCATGCTCTTTGCCTTGGTGGCCGTTGGACTGTTGGCAATCGGATCCTCCGACGACGATTCCGCCAGCATGTTGGTCAAGGCACAAGCTGTAAGATCTCATTATTAGACCTTGATAGTTCATCCTGATTGATTTCTTCCTCAAGCAATCTGCTCAACGATCCTTCCCTGCCGTGACTACTGAGCTGGCTGAGGAAGAGGCTGCTGAGGCCGCCCCCGCCCCCGCCCCCGCTGCCGCGCCTGCACCTGCTGCTGCACCTGCCGCCGCACCTGCTGCGGCTCCTGCTGCATCTGGAGCCTCATCCGAGTCCAGTTCGTCGCCTTCCTCCGAGTCCAAAGGTAGAGGATTACTCTATATCTTACAAACGAATCTAGGCGATCCAGAACCTAATTGATACTCAGGCCCTAAGATCTTGAACTCGTTTGTTCCCCACTTGTCTAAGATCAAGTGGCCCTCAAGGTATGCAAGGAGTGGCAGTGGATTGGAGGCAGTGGATTGATAGTGACTGCTTAGCTGGACGGACTTTCGTGCAATCTTCGGCATGCACCTGGACTGGATTCTCTTCATCATCATTCTTGCCATCTTGTGCTGGGGCTATGTCACCTACATCCGTCCACGATTGGACAAGCGCGAAGATGAAGAAGCAATCTTGGACGAGAATGACGTGACTGCCAACCTGCTCCTGATGCCAGGGGAGGAGATCTTCTTCCACAAGGAGGAGCCCCTGAGCTCGTCCTGGTGATAGCAAACCTGCAGTAATTCCCAGCCAATCAGTCTCACTATTATGCAGGTGGGAAATGCTCTTGTGCGGATGCGGAAATCGCGTGTGGAAGCTTGGTGTGACAAACCGTAGAATTGTCGCTCAGAAGAAGGAAGCCGCTGCGTTTGGAACCTGCCAGGTTTTGTCAATGTTGGATACGAAGCTTCTTTCTGAAAAGCTTTCATAGCTCACTTGCCGTGAGGATTGCTGGCCAATTGAGAATGTGGCCAAGGTCAGCGTTCTTTCCGGAGAGTTCTGGGGATACACCGTACCAGTTCTTTGGGAGCTTGCTCAACGGTAAGCTCCTATTGCTCCCTCTTCGAGTTTGACGTCTCTCAAGATACTTCGTCATTGCTCTCTTGTTTGATTTGCTTCACGGCTTTGTCAAGGCCAACATCCAGGTGTGTCATTTTGGTGTTTCCTGTTTGCCCGACTAACACGGTTGTTGACAGGATTTCTTTGGACCAACAGCTAACAGTGATGTGGTGATCCAGAGAATCATCATCGGAATCAATGTGTTCTTGTACCTTCTCTGCAATCTTTTGTTCCTGTTTGCCGTCGTCTACTCGTTTGCTGTCATGGGACTTGTCATCTTCCCCCATGCTATCGTGAAGGTGAGCGGTGACTGCTGAGCGTTTGATTTGCTGAGAATCTGCTCAGGTTTACCTCACCCGTGAGCTTGAGGAAGAAGGAAACCCTCTCAGCCATATCGGCGGATGGTGCTGCGGTGGAAAGAGCAACAGCAGGCCCATGGAGTCGTTCACCTTCCAGACCCAAGAGGCATACAAAGCCTATCAAGCGATCATGGCTGCGCGATCTGGAGTGGTATGCTGCTTGCTTGCTGCTTGATTGTCATCTGATGTTCGATGGATAGACCAACACTGGATGGCAAAGTGTCGGACGTGCCCAGAAAGATTCCAAGGAGGAGCATTAAGAAATTATCAAAAGGATGAGGCCGGCGTTATCAAGTCGCTAGCACCATACTTTGTTCAAGTGCATCCTTCTCTTTATTATTGTAGATGAATACAAGAGCATTGAACCCAACCTGCCGTCACTATTTTCATGGCATCAAGTTAGTGTCGAGAGCGGATCAAGAGTTTTCACACAATATCTTGAGGAATACTTTCAAGAGTGTCACACAAAAACTTGAAGAATTCTTTCAGAGATGATTTAATAAGTTATACATGCGAGGGCATCCCTCTCACTGCTGCTGACTGTGCGATATCACTGGTCGGGCGATACAGCTTGAAAAACAATACGCCGAAATTACACGAGGTCACGAGACTTCTAAGCATCCATAGCGCGTCTCTCACGCTGCTAGAGAACCTCCAGAGGACTTTGAAAGTTGTTGAGACTGTTCAGTTGGGCAGCAGCCTCCAACATCATAGCAAATCGCTCCATACAACAAACCGCCAGACGACTGATGGGTACAATTGTCTGAAACAACCAGGCTCTGTTGCAAGAGTTCCTGCGTATGCATATGAGCGATCTATCATGGATTTCTGGTAGAACAATAGAGAGCATCGTGTCCAACTTTGATCACATCAAATCATATAAGATGATCCAGAAACAAATTCATGCAGCATCAAGGCTAAGATACAGAAACCGTCGAACACACTGCAACATGACATTGTGCTCAATTCGTTTCGTCAAGGCCAACCATCCACGGAGACAGAACAAGTAGCTTTAGCACGGGATAACAAGCACAAGATAAGCTCTTGCAGCTCTCAGACAGGCAACCAACCCCCGCCATCGCCTCATCGCTCACCACAGTCTGCCGGACGAGCGCGAACATGTTTCGCCTCACCCTTCTATTTCCGGGAAAGTGAGGGGGGTAAAGATGGTTGACCAGAAATCTCTACCCCACCCTTCAATCGACCCAGAATACTGACCTACCCCCCCCCCCCCTAGGAATAATCAGGGGATTGTACCCCACAAAACAAGTACCAAAATCATGGAAAGTTTGAGGGTGGGTAGTTGAGGGTTTGCGGGGGTTACCCTTCGAAGGTGGTGATGGAGATAGATGGGTGGGGTGAAAGAAGTATGGAGATGGGGTTATATTGACTGTGAAATGATAGGTGGGGTGGTAATCCATGGGGGTGAGGAGTATTCCATGTGGAAAACTGAAGGTGGGGGGGGTGGACATCAATACGGCCCGCCTCAGGATGGGGGTCATAAGCTGTGATATGGCGGTGGCCGCAGGGAACATGAAGGCGAAGGGAGCAGGAGAGCGCGAGGATGAGAGGACAAGACGAGCGATGATACAACTTCGTCTCTGGAATTGTGCTGCTGGCTTGCTCGTAGTTGCCTCCTCGCTACTTGTCGATCGAGCAGCAGCGTTCTCAGTGGCAGGATCCCCTTGCTTACGACGGCAACAAGGGAGCGCGTCCTGTTCGTCCAGAGGAGCTACGATGTCCGCGAGACCTTCAGATCAAACTGATCAAGCAACTTCTAACTCATTGTTGAGCAGAAGACAAGTATTTCAGCTCGCAGGTGCTTTTGTGGTCGCCGCGCCCCTTGCCAGTGGCGCTGAAGATTCCGCCTTGGGTTCGAGAGCACCGATGGGCGCTGACGTGCTGGATCGTCCAAGTTTCCGAAAGCGCCAGGACTTTCTTCTCGAAGAAGTATACAGCCCGGAATCGCTTGAAGACATCCCCATCCCTGTGAATGGTAAGCAGAAAACACTGTCGAAGTTGAAGGGCAGCAAGGCTACAATAGTGATGAATATCAAGTTGGACGACCCGGAGACAGTCACTCAGATCCCTGCCCTCAAGACCCTCGTCTTGCAGTACGCAGATCAAGGGCTCAACGCGATCTGCTTCCCTACGGATCAAGGAGATTACGAACCGGACGACTCTGCTACTGTCAGGATCAAAGTAGAGCGGGAACTCAATAGTTTGTCGACTGACTGCATTTTGAAGGTGGCCCAGCAGTATGGAATGAAGAGCTCGTTGAAAGGTCCCATTATTGTTACAGACAAGACAGACATCGTAGGGAAGTTCACTCATCCTTTGTACCGGTGAGCTGATCAACAGAGGACCTGCATCTAACATGCCAGATGCACACTGATCCTTTCCGTGTACTGATCATGTTCATCTTTAAATCCCTCCCTCCCTCCCTCCCTCCCTCCCTCCATCCATCCATCCATCCATCCATCCATCCATCCCTCTCCTGCTTCCTTGCATTCCGCTTATTCCTGACTTCCTTCGATGTGTGATTCAGGTACATGACCACCAACCTTCCCAACCCCAACAACATCACGCGAATCACTCTCAACTACGAGAAGTTCTTGCTGGATGCAGACGGCCAGGTTGACTGCAACGTCTCTTTGAACTGTTCAGTTACCTGAGGGTGGAATCAGGTCCTCAGAAGATACCCAAGGCTGTGGTCTGCTGAGAGGATGGAGAAAGACGTGAAAGCGGCACGACACCCTCTGTCACTGTGCTTGGAGCTCCTCTGACACACTGTACAGGTGCTGGCAGGTCAGCCTCTACCTCCTGTGGACCCCCAGGTAGCTGCTTGAACCATATGTGCTCACATCCTCCACCTACACTGCCTACTGCCGCTCTGGCTGTCCTCGTTCTGCTGTTCCATCCCCTGATCATCTTCAAGTGGCTGTTCGCGTGGAAGGAGGCCGACAAGGAGGCGACTCGCTCGATCTACAGGCAAGCGCCTGCTCACCCACCTCAGCTGTCTTGTGACCTGCATTGACCCTGGATGAACAGCTTCAGGAAACACTACAACTTCTACGATCAGCAGGAGGCTGGTGCCGACTGGGCTGGAACCAAAGCTGAGGTGCGTTCATAACCTTTGCTGACCTCTGCTTGCGATGATCGAAGTTCCAGTTCTTCACGCCCGGGTCCAACGCCCCCAGATTCAAGTCCGTTACCAAGGGCAAGCCTCTTACGATCCCCCTGCCCGAGTAGAGAGAGGCATACACAACTGTCAGCTCATTGAAACCTTTTCTTTGAGTCGATGGTTTCCTCCTTACTTCATCCTCTTTTTCTTCTTAAAGCCTTGCGCATTGAGAGCATGCCCAGCTCCTGAGATTCCGCTGCGGTGTTCTTTCAAGTTGAAGAGTGATCGGGCGAACATCTTACGTATCAACAGCCTTTGCGCGATGAGACTCCGGGTAGGGGACGAAATCAGCCGTTGCGTGAAGGTAGAAGATTTGATCACGCAAGGAAATCAACATGTACTAACGGCGGTACTCCGAGCAGAGACTGAGAAGGGGGACTGATAGGATCATCGGATAGAGAGGAGGAAGAGACTCATGCTGAGACTCTCAGTCAAACATAACCCGGCACGGTGCTGAACTCCATGGCCACGGAGATCAGTCACAGTGTCAGGTACACACAGAGTCCGATCATGTCAGCTACCGTAGTACAAAGACCACTAGTGGCACTCAGTCAGTGACGGGCAGCGCCGAGGCCCGTGGCCCGGCCCGGGGCCGCCGGATCCTGTTTAACACCGGGCCCGCCCCCGCCAGGGGCGTTAAGTAAAACGGATTCCTTATGTAGCGGTGGCTCCACTACCCCACTACCCCCCCTCAAACCTCCGATCACCGGGTCTTGAGAGCCATCGCCCCACCCCCACCCTCCTAAGAACCATGTGCAAGTACCGGTGTATATTGGACCCAGCCAATTCAGATGACCGAATTACGACCTGCAATCTGCTTTATCAATTGGGGTGGGGGATTCAAGGAGGAGGGTAGGGGTAGTCCAAATATAGATAGAGAAATCAAAATGTGTCGATGTGAAGTTGATGTACCCCTTATTTGACACTCATTTTCAGGTCATTGAGGGGTCCAAATTTTGAAATTAAATTGGATGGAGACTTCAATTTTAAAAGTTATGATGTAAGGCATGGGGGTACAAGGTGATGAGAAGGGTGTAGGGGTCAGTAAGCGAAATGGCGGATCCAAGTACGAGAAGGAAGCGGCGGCGATGGCATTGAGAGAGTAGCGAGAAGAAGAGAAAGACAAGTGGTAGAAAGTCAAACTTGGGTATTCAAAGCATGTGAAGGTGCGAGAGCAACTACTCTGTTGTTGGATGGGATACTTGAGGTCGCTTTTTTCTGTTACATAGCCTGTCGGGAGAATCGTGTAACTGCAGAGGGAGTGGAAGAGAGGAGCAGATGACAAGGAGGGATGAGGGGACATTCACCAGGAATCTCAATGAGGGAGCTCATGAGGATTTCGGCTGTATTTTGAAGCAGGCAGGCACCTCCAGACCCCTTGGTCCGAACTACTCTTGGAAATGCAGACCTTTTCTGAAGTGTAGCTGACGGGGCTGGGTTTCGGACATGCTATTACATTGCATTTTACCAGCCTTTTCTCAATCATTCTTTGTCTTTGTACAATCTTTCTCAATCATTCTTTGTCTTTTGTCTTTGTACAATCTTTCTCAATCATTCTTTGTCTTGGTACAATCTTTCTCAATCATTCTTTGTCTTTGTATAATCTTTCTCAATCATTCTTTGTCTTGGTACAATCGTTCTCAATCATCCTTTGTCTTTGTACAATCTTAGTTATTGCTTCTTGAATAGGATGCGACCGCCAAGATGTTGTCACCGCCAGAATTGTGGGTGAAATAAGCTGCTATGGAACAAGATACGATCTTGACATACATTCATCTGGGTAATGCCTTGCGTTCTTTGTGATATTGTGCTGCTAAAACATGTAAAGGTTGAACGAAGTTTCATCACATTGTATTGCTGTTCAGCATGCATGAGTGGAAATACGTCTCTGTGGCTCCGGGCATCATCCTGTTTTGTTGGGTACTGACTGTCAGTAGCCATGATGAGACGAGCTCTGTGCTGGCGCATGATACCCTCAAGCTTTGTGCTCACTCTGACGTCGAGCATCCACGACATCACGCGGTGAATCGACAGGTTCGTTGGCTAGCACCGGTTTGGTCCGGATAGATTGTCAGAATCCCTGAAGGAATGGAACAGGTGTTGTTCGGCGATGGGATCGTTCAAGAGACTCTGCTCGCATGGTACTTCTTGTTTCATTTCTCATACGTTTTGCGCTGCTTCGATGGTCCCGATCTCCTGCCTGCCTCCCCCTTCTCCACTCAAACTTGTTTCACTGCCCTCTGCCGCTCTCTGTTCTGACAGCCTGCCTTGAACATCAGGGAGGCTTGCAGCAATGAGAGCACTGGCTGTTATCCGGTAATGGCAGGCAGGCATGCTAGCACAACACTTGGCTGATCTCGTGGCTGCAGAGGAGCTGGTCCGGTTGCAAGGACCTCGACCAAGACCTCCGACTAACGGAAACCAACGGACTGACCTCTCCCAGACCCTCAAGCCCTCAACAAGACGCGAGGGCAGAGTTGGACTCCTCCTTGACCCCTCAGGGATCAGCGTCAGACGCGCACGATCGTCTCGGCGTGCTGCAGCTCTCGTCTTCGGTCTCGCTCCCAAGGGAGCACAGCGGGGCAGCAGCCCTTCTGCAAGATCCCGTGTCGAACTGGAATCTAGACAGCGATGACATTGCGATAGAGCACATGGCCTGGTCCACGGTATCCTCAGCTGAGATGCAGAACAAGGGAGAGACGAACATGGGGGAGAGGTTGAGGTGAGGCTTCCCTGTGGTCCCGGGAGGTAATTACTGACGTGTGAACCAGTCCGATCACTCCGCCACGGGAGGGGAGGGAGGGTTCGAGAAGTCAATCCCCGCACCATACCCATCAGCCTCGCAATTATCTCTGCAGCTCTCATGACTGCGGGAAGTCGGCCTCGTGCGTCCCGTCTGCTTGCTGCCCTCCCCGCACCTGACCACCTCCCGTGCAGGTTTGTCGTCAAGTCCTCCGACCCTCTCGACCCCTGGAATGAATCCACGCGGTACTGTAGGGATCATGCGCCAGCTGACTCGGTAGACTTCAAGCACCAGAAGTGCCGTGAGCTCTTCCTACCCCCTTGCTCGTCCCCCGCCACTGATGTTGCCTCCTCAGGGCATGCCGAGGGCTGCTCGCGACAAGCGTCATGGTCGGACCCTTGCCACCAGTCCCTGGGCTTCTGTGCACAGCACAAGCTGTCAGGAAGTTACCCCAAGTACGGGTACCTGCAGATGAGGGCGGACGAGAAGGTTTTCCAAAACTGGACGTCGCTTGCAACTTTCCAGTCCCAGTCGGAGAGAAGATCGAAGTCTCCTGTGCGTTGGAGTGGTTTGCGTCAGCCTTGCCGTGACGTCTTGACTGCAGGACGAGAAGAGGAGGAGGTGCGAATACCCTCTGGGCTGCAAGAAGATTCCGTGAGCAGCATCCTTGCGGTGGATGTCGACGATGTCGATGATGATGCTGTAGGGCCTTCGGTGAAGCAGGCGATCGCCCAAGATTTTGCGTGATGCACAAATGCAGCAAGCATGTTCTTATAAGAGTGAGTGGAGGCCTCTTCCTTGTATTTCTTCCTTCCTCTCCCTGAATGTTCCCATCCTTATCACCTCCTCCACCTCCTCTTCTCGTAGCTTCCTCAACCCCAAACCCTCCTCACACTGTCCGATCTGCGGCTCTCGTTCACTCCTGCGGCGCAGAAGCTCTGCATGGTGGAGGGTTGTTGTACGCGAGCTGTCTTCGGGTTTCACAACCGCAACGGGGGACTCACCCACTGCGAGGCCCACAGGTACATCGCACGCACGTGCCAACCCTCCAGCTGATCTTCAGCAGGCGACCAGGGCAGAAGAAGATAGCAAGCTATGTCTGCAAGTCTCCTCTGTGCACGAAAGTCGCAAAATTTGGGTGAGGCAGGGGAAGAGGGAGGGAGAGGAGGAGGGGGGGGGGGGGGAGGAGGAAGGAGCTTTTCCGGTGCCTGTTCGCTGATCCTTCATCCTAGGGAGGTAAAAGGGGAGAGAAGGTTCTGTGCCGAGCATCGGGAGCCGCACCATGTGGACTTGTTCAACAAGCACTGCAAGTTTCCAGGTCGGGCAGTAGAGTGACCTGCTCCCTGCTTACACCTCTTGGCAGACTGCATGCGCAGGGCGAGCTTCGGGGACAAGGCAGAGCGAGTCCCCTTGTGGTGTGCAGCTCATGCTGACAGGTCTACCCTGCTCAATACTCTCATCCCTTCGTTCCACCCTCCGCTCTCCTCGGATTTCATCCCCTACCTCCCTCCTCCCTCCCTTCTTCCCTCCATCGCTCTGTTTTTTTGCTGTCCTTTCCTCGTCCTCTTCTTCTTGCCCCTCCCTCGTCCTCTTCTCCTCTTGATCTTCTCCTGCAGGTCGACCATGGTGGACGTTCGGCACTCCAAGTGCATCGAGAAGGGATGCAACTTGACGCCCTCCTTCGGCCTCCTCACGGACGGGCAGATCTTGTACTGCTCAAAGGTTTTCCTCTCCCTGCGGTTGTCTCCTTCTTCCTCACTCCTCCTCAGCACAAGCACTCCGACTGCGTCAACTTGAGGCACCTCCAGACGCTGGCTAAGGGCAGCCTGCAGGCAGGGGGGGGGAGGAGGGCGAGGAGCAGCCTGATGACTCTGTAACATACGATCTTATTCTTTTCTTCTACTGTACAGAAAGACTTCCCATGAGTCTCCTCCTCTCATCCCCTCCTCTCATCCCTTCCTCCCTGCTATCTTAATGTTTCCTAGGAGCTCACACAGCCTTTCTAAAATGTTTCCCTCCTCCATCCCTTCCCCGGTAATCGTACGTGCACTCGCCCTCGCCCTCCCGCCGCCTTCCCCGCGTTCAAGTCTCCTTGTAAGAAGGGAAGACGCTCGCTCCCGTCGATAGAGCGACTTCCAGGTCCTTCTGGTTGATAAATTCCTTCACCTTCCCCAAGTACTCGCCGCGCAGCTGCAACGCCATTAGACGAGAACAGGAGAGCAGGGCAGGGCAGGGCAGGGCAGGGCAGGGCAGGGCAGGGCAGGGCAGGGCAGACCCTGAAATTTTGCCACAGCACCAACTGGGCGCTAGCTACGAAAAGAGGTCCAAGCACCAGGCAGTAGAACAGAGTAGTCTGAAGGAGTAACAAATTTCAGTGATGCACTGCTCCTTTCCCCGTCTCAAACTTCTTTCTCCTCCTCGTCCCTCCCTCCCTCCCTCCTCTTCCTCCCTCCCTCCCTCTCCCTCCTCTTCCTCCCTCCCTCCCTCCCTCAGACCTCTTCCTCCTCCCTCTTCCTTGTCTTCCTCCTTCACCTGTTGTCCTTGTCCCTGTCCTATCCCTTTGGAATCGGAGGAGCGATAGTTGAGAATGGCCCAACCCAGCATCGGAGCCTGTCAAGCTGTATTAAGAAACTGCATGCTCGTGCAAGGAATCGACCAGACTCTCTCCCGGCTTCGTGAAGAGCGCGTTGGTGCCCATGACTGTCGCACTGCGTGACGGAATCAGAGCAGGAGGACGAGGAGGAGGAACGAGGAGGAGGAGGAGGGAGGAGGGAGGAATGATTGAAGGAGGGAGAGAAACGGGGCAGGGGAGGAGGAGGCGAGTTACGGCAGCTGGAAACAGCTCACCTCATGCTCCTGTCGCGGATGTGGAGGTACTTGTCCTTGCCAAGAAATCACTTTCGGTGTGAATGAGGAAGGAGAGAAGGGGGAGGCATCAATGACGTAAGGGAAAGCAGAACTGGAGGAACGAGGGAGAGGGCGGAGAGGAGACGAGGAGTAGCTAGGAAGAAGCAAGAACCTCGTCAGCAAGGTCCGCTAGAACCATTGTGCTCTGGAGGAGGAGAAGTCAACAATTTCCAGACGTCGATGTCGAGCAGATTTCTCTCACTTGTCGGCAGACGCACTCGGTCAAGACCCTCGTGGCAACGGCGAAGAGACCGATAAAGACCTGATGCTTGTACCCGATGCAGAGAGCCACCATGCTCAGCATGAGCTGTAAGGCGGGAGGGCGTCAGATGTCGAAGAGGGCGAGGAAAGATCGAGTCGAACCTTGAGAGTGAAGGCAATCTGCAGCAGCCGATACACGCCATGCTTGTTCACAAACGGGCCGACAAGGATGGTGGTCAGCCATGGTAGGATGAAGGAGGTGGAGATGATGAGGCTGGCGGCAGGAGGTCAGAGCGTCGCTGCTTGAAGGCGTGAGGACCTTCGGGTCTTGCGGGACAAGTCGACCAGCAGCACGTCAACGAATGACGACAGGAAGTTCTTCTCGAACGTGCACTCGAAAACCTACGCTGGCTCAGGTCCTTAGACTCCTCAGGGTCCAGCAGGACCTGTAGGGCGCTGACTAGCGTGAATACCCCGAGGTTCTTGTGGTTCCAGAGCTGCTTCATCACGATGGCCACTGACTTGCGGGTCGATGCCTTGTGGTGAAGCTCGGAGCTCGTTTCCTCCAACTTCTCCTTGAGCTCAAGGCTCTGACATAGAACAGCCTCAACTCCCCTCCCTCCCTCCTCCCTCCATCCTCCTCCCTCCCCCTCGACCTGCTCGTGTCTTGATATCCCGTGCGCCGAGTACGTAAAGGCGAGGGCAGAGATCAGGGACACGACAGCACTGCCCCCTCTGGTTCAGCCGCCCTGAAGCCCCTCCTCTCCTCCCACCTGAAGCGTCGGAAGAGATGCAGGTCGGCTCCGGGAACGGGGTTCCAGTACATGTGCCCGAAGAAGGAGGAGCAAGACCCAATCACCTAGCAGCACCGTCATCATCTTCCTCTCCCGGTCTCCTCCCCTTCTGTGCACCGCTCCGATCGCGGAGGCCTGATTCAGCTTTGTACGATCCTCCACTGAGCTCGAGATATCTGCCATAAGCTGGTAAGTCCGCTGTGCGGTCTCCGTCCTCGCCCAGCCTCATCATATCGCCATGGCGAATCGCCATATGCATGATAGGGAGGCAACTCACCGGCGAGGAGGGCACCATGATTCAGCTCCACCGTAGTCAGCAGCCCATCATACGCGCAAAGTGCGAGGGTGAAGTGAATGGCAGAGAGGAAAGAGCCTTTATGCCCCTCGTCCCCCCAGTCCAGCCATGAGAGGGAAAACACGAGAGCCCACAAGGGTCCTCCGTACCGGATCGCTGGGATCCTCCTCCGCATGAGGCCGGGCGACATGTCGGATATCCACCCGATGAGAGGGTCGTTGAGCGCATTCCACACCATGTACAGCGCCTGTCCGAGGAAGAAGGAGGAAGAGGAGAGTCTGGAGGAGAAGAAGGGGATGGAGTACGTAACCCACACGTTGTTCATCGCCGCCGACCCCAGCATCGTCGCCCCATAGGCAGCGCTGGGAACCATGTCGGAGCAGCCGCCAGGTCTCTTTCACTCAACTCGAGGATACTGACGTAGTGAGAGTGAGCTCGCCTCAGAGCAGGTGTCCGGCAATCCGATCCGATGTCTGTACCCGTACTGATTTAAGTGAAGGTATCAGTTAAGTTTGGGGGACAGCGCTCGGCAGGATGAGGATTGCCAAGTTGGTTCTCGCTGTCTTTTCTCTTCTCGCCGTATGGAGCCTCGGACTTACTTGTCCTCGTACTGATTTTTAACTTAACTTTGAGTAAAAGAGCCTCGGACTCCGACCCGGCGGCCCGGACTAGAGCTAGTAGCTAGGCGGTCTTTTGACACTGACAAGCGCTGTCAACGGATCGTCAGGTGGGGCATGCAGCGATGCCGGTGCCCGCTAGGAAGCACGCGATGCTCATGGGCGAGGGAGGTGCGGAGAGAGTTCCTGCAAGCCGTCCTAGCGCAGGACACGCAGACGCTAGAGACGATCGTGCTGGACTTGTACGCGGAGGGGAGAGACGACGAGGTTGCGCTGATCAGGGACGAGGCGGGTCAGGACGTGCTTCATCAAGCGGTCGGAGCTCGAAGACATGAGTCGCTGGAGTTTCTTGCGCGCATCTTGATGAGACATGTCGATCATGCGGACGAGCGGGGGTTGACTCCTCTCATGCTTGCGGCGAAGCACGGGGATCTGGACATGGTCAAGGTCCTGGAGAGGGCGGGAGCCCAACGCTACCTGCGGTGCGATCGAGGCCTAAGAGCGTACGATTATGCCTGGATGGGTCAGCATCAAGCTGTCATCAAGTACTTCGACACTGTAGCTGACCCGGAGTTGTTTGCTGATGGCTACTGCGCGATGCTGTACAGCGCAAGGGAGGCGTACAGGTACTACAACAGGCAGCGAATGTCCGATCACTTTTCGGCATGGTGCGAGTCGACTTCGCAGATCCTCAACGAAGAGGCAGTTGAGCTGAAGGTGAGATGTTGCTTCAGCATGCCGCAGGCTGGCTCATGACTTGACTCGTGCATGCCAGCTCACGCTAGAGGACGCGGAACAGTCGTTGATAGAGTCTGGGATTGATCCTTCATCGGAGGACTGGGGGAGGAAGCTCAAGGACAAGGCGTTCGAGAACTCTTACAAGCTGTGTCAAATTATCCTGTCCAAGGTCGCCTCCCGACTTGCGCGAGCTGATCTGTGACAGCTGAGACCTTGCCAGGTCAAGATGGACCTCGACGACGACCTTCGCTTTCAGAAGCTGCAGCGACGAGCGTTGCTGCTACGACAAGATCTCAAGAGGTTGCACCCTTGTTGCTTGCTGACTCATAACGAGGCTCCCAGTAGCCTACCCTGTCCCGTGCTCGTGCAGCGAGGCTGACTTATCAGCAGGCGCAAGTCCATGTTCGGCGGGAGCCTCCGGACGTTGAAGCAGTTCAGCGATCAAATCAAGAATGACGGTCAGCTTGCGCTGAATGAGCAGGCACGCGCGGAGACATACAGAGAGAGGCTCGTCAAAGAAGTTCCTGCCGTACCGAGAGTGACGAGATTGGTCTACGAGACCATGAACGCGTACGAGGATGTGGCCATGCAGGGGGAGGGAGGGGGTGCGGGAGAACGTAGCAGCAGCATGTTTGATGAAGACTACCTGATGATGGCGGGAAGGAAGCATCCAATGGAAGAGTACCTCAGAGCTTGCGTGATAAAGAGGATCAGGCCGGACAAGCTCATCCTGGAGCAGCTGGCGACAAGGAGGTTGGTGGTGCGTGACTACCCCTTCATGCGGAGCAGGAAGGGGACGGAGGAGGAGACGAAGGAGATGCACGCGCTAGCAAGCGCTCTCAAGTATAACATGCTCGTGACGGAAGTCTGTCTGCATAGCCCAACTACCAGGATGAAGGAGGGGAAGGAGCTCTGGACGGCCGTCGCCTCCTGCCCTTCACTCTCCAAGCTCTCCGTTCACTTTGCCCTCCTCGGCCCTCAGCCTTGCTCCATCCTCGCTCAGCTGGTTTCCAGGAGGGCGTGTGCCCTGCAGGAGCTCAGCTTGAACAACACCAACATCGGGGGCCGAGGCATGCGCATGCTCGCAGCTGGGCTGGAGGTCAACTCCAGTATCCAGGTGCTGTCCCTGCAGAATTGCTCCATCGGAGAGGAGGGAGGAACGAGCCTTGCTGGCGTGCTGGGGAAACATCCAACGATGCGCGAGGTCGACTTGTCCTGGAACTCGCTAGGACCCAACGGGTCGGCGATGATCCTGCATGCACTAGGGGGATCGCTGGACGTCGAAGAGGGGCGCGAAGGAGCGAGCAAGCGGCTGTTCTTGGCGAGCAGAAGCATCACCTCTCTTGACGTCTCCTGGAACAGACTGGAGGAGAGAGGAGCGGCGGTCCTTGCAGACTGCATCTCTCGCAGCACGACCTTGGCCCGGCTAGACATCAGCAGCTGCAGCATCCCCGAGCAAGCTTGTGGCGCGCTCTCGGTCGCGATCTCCAAGAACTCGAGCCTCACCGTGCTCTTCCTCGATCACAACCCTTTCTCCGACGGGATCAGACTCCTCCTTGATGCTGTTCAAGGTCGCGGCATCCGCTTCAGCCTCGTCTCGCGCTTCCCCATGCAGGAGCAGGCCCTCCTCGCGTCCTCCCTCCACCTCAACGTCCTCCTCCCAAACCTCACCGGCAGCTACGACCTCCTGCTGCAGGACGAGAGGCATCGAGCCATCGCCGACTGCCTCCTCAGGTACATGCGAGGAACGTCGTCGGAGACCTGGCGCAACCTCCGCGTGGACGGCAAGAGGGTCCCTGTGGACAAGAACTTCGAGCTGCCTGCCGCCCCTGCCCGGATGCAGCTGGACGTGATGGAGGTGAAGAAGGGATTCGTCCGTGAGCTCGGCCAGCAAGACCTCCAGCAGCTGCTCTCGATCCTTGGCAAGAGCCCTTCGCCCCTGCAGCGCATGCTCGAGCTCCGCAAGGTCACGGGCGACTACACCTTCTCGGTCAAGCACCTCCTTCAGATCCTCGGCCAGCTGGAGGAGGGAGCTGAGAAGGAGACGGCTTTCCGCCTGCTGCTTAGTCGCGTAGTAGACCAGGAGGTCCTGCACAGAGCGGCTCGCTTCCTCGGCCCGAGCAGCTACAACCGCGTGCTGCACCACGTTGGCCCCCTCCTCCTTTTCAACGAGAGCAACCCCAGCGGGTTGTACCGTCTGGAGCTGGACAGGAAGGACGACAGGCAGGTGCTCCTGAAGCTCTTTACTCTCGCCCGCCACCGCCCCTCCTGCTCCATCGTCAGCATCACCAAGTTGGGGACGGTGGAAGAGATCGACGCTGCATGGAGCGGCAGGGTACTGTCCGACACTCAAGACAAGCAGGTTCTGCGGGGACGATTCGTGATGAGATTCAGGTTCCACCGCAACCTGCAGCTGCTCGACGAGTGGTCGCAGGTCCAGGAGTGTAGCTCCTCCGATTGCCTGACCTCCTGCAGGCTGAGGACATGCAGGCTGACCTGACGCTGCTGGCGCCGGGGAGGATTCCGCTAGCAGACCGTCAGGTGGAGGAGGAGGTGATGGAAGCAGACCTGGAGAAGAGACTCGAGGCAGTGGAGGAAGCGGCAGACGCATCGCAGGTTGAGATGATCCGAAGGTTTGCTTGCACTAAGACAAGCTCCTTGCTCCCTCCCCTCACCTCGCGCTCTTCCCAGGACATTCGAATGGTTGCTGGGGGTCTCCTCCGTCGAGAGTTTGACCCCTCTGAAAGAAGTTGAGCAACAGCAACAGCAGGACGACAGCTGGCAGCGAGTCCTGGTAAGCCTGACGTGGTTTGACGAGCTCCCCTCTTCCTCTGCCTTGACTTGGTGTTTGTAGGATTGGTTGCCGACTAGCGTTGGGTCCGAAGCTCTTGTTGAACGATCGTGGAAACCAATTCGGTTTGCGCCATCAGTACGTCAAATATGCAGACATGCTAATCTTGGTCCATTTACAGGACAAGGAAGGGAAAGATCAAAAATTTCGGAAGATCGACAGAGTTGTGCTTTCGATCCAATGATGTTATTATGGTGCCCTTGTTGTCTTGTTTGAAGGCCTCAATCACATTCATCTCATGCAGGTGGATTTCCTCTGTGAAGAACTCAAGATGTCAGCTCTGCCCTATCATGGCACTTCCACCTACAAAGTGATCAACAGTGAGTGATTCTTGTTCTCGTAGGAGATCGCGTCAAAGAGACTCGGGAGGACGTTGACGATGGAGGGATGGAGCCGTCAGAGTTGGTAAGCTACCAGAGTCTCCTCCTCCTCGGGTGATTGCGGGACAGTCTGAGAGCTACAAGTCTGGGCCGCTGTGGATCAGAGAAGAAGGAGAGAGCGAAGGAAGATGGTTCCAGCAATTCTTCTGCTTCTTGGACATCACCGTAGCTACAGCTTGTTGGTGGTGATGTGCTCCTTACGACCTCTCTCGCTCTTGCAGACTGAAAGGAAGGAGGAGGAGGAGGAGGAGCAGCAGCAGCAGCAGCAGCAGCAGCAAGATACAGTCTCGGGCTCAAGTCAGGTTCCTAATGGCCCCAAGTCTACGGGTCTGCTTCGCGAACGACCTTTGAGGGGCAGGACCAGCTGAGGTGGTTTGAACAGGAATCTTCACAGGGAGGAGCGAGGGGGATGAGGTGAAGACAGGCATGGATGTCCGCGTGCGATGTCAGTGAAACCATCTTCAGTTGCAACTGGTGGCCGCTGTAGCTGACATCGAATCCGCTCACTTGATACCAGAGGATGAGGCCACGGTGAGCAGCCGGCAGAAGACGCTTGCGGTGCTGACCTCTCCCTAGCAACTCGCGGTCCCTGAGCACAAGTTTGCTTTCCTCGTCCTTGTTCGCGAGAAGGACGAGCCTGTTGGAGATGAGAGGCAGGAGGAGACGAAGGGAGTGAAGGTCCCTGACTCGTCAAGCTCTTACTTGCTCTGTGCCGATTCTCTAGCAGAAGCTCAGCAGTGGCTGAGCCAGGTGAGGGAGGGAGGAGAGAGAGTCTGAGGAGGCATGTACGAGTCCTACTGCAGCTGCATCATTTCATGGAGCGCGAAAACTCCAAGACACGCGCTGGAGCTCTTGCGGTATCCGACACTTGAAGCTTTCGAGATGTGATGGAGAGCTTGTATGACAGGACGATAAGACGAAATCAGCAAGTGACGACTTCCAAGCAAAGAGGCTCAGCGGTGATTCAAGGTGACTTTGACGGGCCTTCGAACGCTGAAGCCGGTTTGAGTAGCAGTGAACGGAATACAACTAGAAGAGAAGTTTAACGAGTCAGTTGGTGGCTCTACAGTCGCCTCGTGACCGAAATCGCAGTCGCTGGGTCAACACATCTAGCAGGCTCGACAAGCTGCTCAAGCTCATGATGACCAAGTCGAGTGAAGAAGTCTGTGAAGTGTTTCACGCTCCTCGTCCCTGACGACCTTCCAAGAGCTTCACGTACATTTCTCGCGCAAAGAGTTTCTACCGGCGGAACCAAGTGAACGCCGTCAAGTCGCTGCAGGTTGCGGACACAAACACAGAGGCGATCTGTCTTCTCAAAAGATGTACAGGCGTTCGTTAGGCGGCAGATAGCGATGACAGGGGTCAAACCACCACAAGAAGCTGCTGCGTCATATGACGATGCTTTTTAGACGATGAAAGAAAGACAGGCAGGGAAGCACAAGGCTGACTTGAACGGGTCTGCCAGCTGATCAATGTGATGTCTCTTCATCTCATTGCGACGCAGGTATCGCCCACAAGAGCAACGATGGGTAGGACGACTCCAGCCTCTTGCGAACCTTGTAATCGCATCCTCTCGAGATGCTCCCCTCGGTAGAATGCTGATTCCATTCCTCCAGGACAATCTCGACTCAGTTCCTCCTCCTCCAAGGCATTCATTCAGCAGCATATGGCTGATACAAGGTTGTTGATCCTCCCTGTCAGGTCGACCCTAGAGGATATGCACAAGAAGATGATGTCCCAAGATATCCATCGGCGTAGCCTGCAGCGGAGTACGGTAGGAGCGAGGGCCTGGGTCGCCTCCTCTCTGACGGCTCCTGCAGCGACTCCTCCGGAGCGTCCTCAAGATGAGGACGACAGAGCTGAAGGGTGAGTTGAGGCAGCATGGTCTCTCACAGGAAGGCGCCAAGCACGAGCTCGTCTCAAGGCTGCAGGTCACTTCCGTGCTGCCTTTCCCTCCCGTTGATCGTCCTGGCAGAAGCACATGAGCAGCGGCAGCAGGGACACTGTGAAGCCTGAAGACCAGGAACATGACGCGGCCAGTCCCACCCGCACCGGCAGCAGGGTCTCTCAGATCGGCCTGTCTCCTCTTGAGCTCGAACTTCATCGCACCTCCATGAGCTGGTCACACTCGCTCCCTCCTCTCTCCATCAGCCCTCGTCCTCCCGGGAGTCTGACTGCCAGGAGTCCTCACTCAGGATCTCCTAGCCCAGCATTCGCACGAAGCCCTGCTTCTGGTGCTCGGGCAGCTGTCAGGTTGGATCCTCTCTTGTACCTCTAGAACCAGCAGTGAGATCAGACGGCATCATGCGCCAACGGTCCGAGTAAGTCGGGGGCGTTCAGAACAGGCTGTGACAACTTGGCAAGCCGCCTGTACCGTGACGTGAGTCAGTGACGCCAGTTAACTAGGACCACTGAGATCACTGTACTGTACTTTAGTGCAAAACTTGACTCTATAAGTTAAAGTCCCTCAGAAGTTGGCAAAGACCCGGACTACACTGAAGTGGCCCACCGCACCCGGTTACCGGGGGCCGGGTGCCCGGCATCGGACGCGCACCGGCGGGCCGGGCAATCATTGATTCCGAGTCGCGTGATGGGCCTCAAATCGCGCGGCCCGGCGTGGCAGAACGATCGGAGGCCCGGAGTCCTGCAGTGACTCGGAAGTCCTGGGCCCGGCGGACTACCGTCACGGCGTACCGGCGGGCGACTGCCTGAGTCACTCCGGGAGCAGTGCCGCCGTCGGTGCCGCAGGCTGTGCTCTCCGACTCGGACGAACCCAGAACCGCCGGCCCGGCAGACCGTCGGTCACGGCCGGGGGCACTGGCATCACTGTGATATTTAACTTATCTTTGAGTAAACTCAGAGCTCAGCGGCTGCTCAGTTTGCTGCTTTGCTGCTGCTTTGAGCCTGTTTGAGAAGCTGTTTGAGCACTGTTTGCTGCACTCAGGCTGTTTGACTTTTGACTGAGCCTCCGAGTGACGGTGTGTAGGGGGATGAGGTCCGCCGCCCAGTGCCGCACAGCCCGGCGGACTCGGACTCCCCACCCATCGGTACGGTCGGCCCCCGGGAGCCCCCGCGGACCTACCATAAGGGCAGTGAGGGTGAGGGGTGGCACACACTGATGCAGGTCATCCCCCTTGTACACGCCAAGGTTCGAGGCTGCTCCTTTGATGTTGAAGTAGTACCGTGAAAAAAGTGAGTTGTTGGGGTAGCCTAAACTCTTCTGACGTGGGCGAGTACCCGATGGGGGTAGGGGTACCAATTAGGTACTACAGGAAGGGGGTCGGGTCCATAAGATCAATCCGGAAAGGATTGAACTCCGGGATCTCCAGTAGTCCAGGGGGTGGGGGTGGCTAAATTTGGGAGAAAGATGAAATTGGGATACCTTGATCTTTTAATTGTAGTTGAAATATTTCATGGTTTACCAGACATTTTCGAAATGTTTCTTGCCCGTATCGAATCTCTGAACGCTGAGGAGAAACCACCCCTGTCGTTTACCATAGTAACCGGAATCACCCCTAGCGTCTGAGGATAAATGACTACCCCCCGATCTTCTTCGCAGGACGCCATATGGACCCCTGCACATCTAACATGAAAATACCACCACCACCCCATAGCCTACCCACCATCAACAATTCTATACACCCTACCCTCCTCCTTCACGTGTTCTGATCCTATCGGTATTTCCTTGTTCTTTGAATAGGGGTGGTAGCAGGTACCTGACCCCCTGCTGTAGCCGGAGTCATGACCGTCTTACAGTACCACCCTGTGTTTGCAGGGTATAACCCCACTTCCCTCGTGACACCACCCCTGTTCGTCGTATTGCTGCTACCACCCCTTCCTTCAATCACTGAATTCCACTGCCCGTCCGCTCCAGCCCGCTCCTCCTCTTCCAATCCGCTTCTCGCCCTCTCCTCTCCGCTTCTCCCCTCCCTCCTTGACTCCTACCCTTGTTCACTCACTTTTTTCTGCTTTTTGCTTGCAGACAACACTGATCAGCTGATTTCCTACCCCAGTCTCTTCTCTCCCCCCGTTTCCCCTTCAAAATTTGCCTCTGCCTCGCTGCTTAGCTCCTCAGACGTCCCATGCTCCCAATACTCTGTTTCTAAGATCGTAATTAGATCTTCTCCTCCTATCTGGTTTGTGTGTTCATGAAAATTCATGCTATCAAATCTTTCCTGTGCCGCTGTCGTAGTCTGAAGCCAGTAATGAAACAACATGGTCACATCTCTAGGATTGTGAGGATCCTCTCTTCCTTCTGTCATTTCTAAAACCTCGTTCAGAGAATTTGACCTGTCGTCTATATCTTGGTTTGATTCTGGGTTTTCATCTACCCCTTTCCCTCCCAAGGTCTACAAGACCACTACATTTTCTTCTTTTGCAATTTATGTCTCCACGTGTAGTGTTATATCATCTTTTCCATCTATTTGACATGAGCTGAGTGTCTTGCTCCATTTGAGCTTTAATCACGTGAAGCTCTTTTAATTGATTGAATCCAATTACAGCGCATGATGTCAATATTAATCCATATCGGTTTCATGATTTGGCAGTCTGACAACAGAATTTAGCCAGATGTCGAACACAAATCTGTATGCTAGCAGGGATGGAGCGCTCTATCAAAGCTACGACAACTATGCTGGTGCACAAGGATTTTTCGATCCCGTGGCTGGGCAGCAACAGCAGCAACAGCAGCAACAGCAACAGCAGCTGCAGCCGAAGGATGATTTTGCTACCCAAGGATTGAGTAACCAAAATGAGCAGCAGATGGTAAAGTCATCCACATGGAGGGGGGACAGGCTGAGATTCCCACAGATGTTTAGAGAGTATCAGCCAAGTCCTCAGCAGTATCAGCAACAGACTTTTGCTCAGGTTAACCTCATTGTTGCCAGACTCTGGAACTGAGTTGGTCAATAGTTTTATCAAGAACAACAAGCTTATGCTCCAATGTCTCCTCCAAGATATCCTTCCAATCAAACTCAAACTATCCATCTCGAGACTGTTCAGCCTCAGATGGTAAGTACCCAGTACGTCACAACTCAACAGCCTATCCAAGGAACTGTACAGGTATTGTTAGCAATATTGCTGATTGATCGGACTAACCTATTGAAAGATTGTTTCCATGCCTTCACCTCCACCCATGGTGACCTATACACAGCCAAGACAATTCACGCAAGTCCAAACGTATGCTCCAGTCACCTACAACACTCAATTGCGGGGGGTAATACACAAACACCTTAGCAAGCAGTCAAATGCAATTGACACTATTTGTGTTTCAGGTTGGGATCAAATTTGGTGAACGAATTGATATGAGGACTGGAGGAATGGTCGTTTTTGTGAAAAGACTTGTCAAAGGAGGCCCTGCAGACCTCAGCAGGAAAATTCAACCCGGTGACGTCTTGCAGCTTATCAACGGGGAAGATGTGTATGGTCAAGGTACGATCACTCGAGTTGATTACGCTCATGAATGACAACAATTGTAGGACTTGATGTTCTCCGTGAGAGAATACCTGGCCCTGCTGGAACCTTTGGTAAAATGTTTGCTCTCTTATTACAATGATTGGGTTTGTTAGTCCGCCTTGGCTTTCGAAGCACGATTGGAACGTTTTACGAAGTGGATCTTCCTCGCACAGCATACGGAGATCCAGCTCAGAACGTACAAATGACAAAAGAAGAAAAGAAAGATGAAGAACAGTACTTCTTCCTTCCAGCAACAGGTCAGATGGTGTCAAAGAGCCAGCTTCAAATGAATAGCGCTCAGCCTCAGCAAAGGCAATTTACTAGCAATCAATACACCGTCACCAGACAGCAAGTACCTGTGCAAACAACGCAGATAGTACAGCAACAGCCAGTACAGTACATCCAGCCAGTACAGTATGTGCAGCAACAGCAGCAGCCGGTGACCATTATGCAAGCTCCTCAATCAGTTCCAAGCGTCCAGTACGTTTCTGTCTCTAACCAGGTATACCATTGCAAAGTTCCAATACTTTAAAAGTGATCTTTCGGTTCCATAGGCGGCATATGCACCTCCTAGTCAGATGCAGTATCAACAAATGCAATATTCGCCTGTTGCTCCAAAGCAGCAAAATTCTCAACTCTATGCTCCGATGACGCAACAAGTAGTGCATCAAAATCTTCAACTGAGAAGTCAACAGAGTGCTGGATATGGACAGAGTTCTGGATACGGACAGAGCGCTGGTTACGAGTTCCCAGGACATCAGGTCTGACTGCATTGCTTGTTTGACTCTCCTGATCACATTTTGCAGACATATCAAGTTCAACCAAATGAGTTGTTCCACGACATGAATGGTGAAATGCAGGGTACACAGGTGTAAGCTTGGCATTATGCCCATTTCCTCTTCCTTAGCTTAGTACCTTCTATTTAAAGAAAATGTTCTAGTGTACATGGTTCTTGCCAGATAATTCACAGAAAATTTACAATTGTTTGGTGGAAGGCCGAGAGCAGGAAAACGGAGTGGAAGGGCTGGTGAAATACATGAGGGACTCGTAGCTTGTCGAACAACGCTAGTGAATGAGATTCAGACTGCCGAGATTGTCATTTTCAACGCACTACCTGGGAGAAAGTTTGTGACGAGGAGAATCTTGACAGAGATAGCTTTGATCGCGGAATGTTTCCTGCCACACGATGATTTGCCTGAATCGACAAGGAATTTAGACCTCGAAAGCCCATAGTCTTGATCGAATTCATATTTTGCAGCAGTTTGGACTCAGCATGACTTGTCCTCGCTCTTGCTTCCCTCCAGTCTATCAAATTCAAGTCTTGCAGCATCGGAGTGATGACACGGATCGAATCGTATCTTTTCTTCTGCTCGATGTAGTTCCGCACTTCAAGTTTCCGATCGGGATCAGAAGCTTCTTCGCAGTTGAAATATTTGGGGTACAGTGAAGCGCAGGAAGTCTCTGAAATAGAAATGATGAGGACGAATGAGAAGGCATCAGCTCAGAGTTAGCTCACTCGGTCGAGCCTCTGCTTCCCTTACAGTGATGCTTTCAGGGGTCTGCTCTGCAAACTGCACGTGCGGCTTCGAGTCTGAGTGAGTGTAAAGCCTCCGCCACCCTTATCAGCCCCGCGTCAGGCGCTCATCGTGAAAGTGTCTAACATGCAGAGATTTGCTGTACCTGGGCCGATAATCTTGCCATCCAGAGTTTTGCGACAGTTCTCAGTCCGTAGGAACAAGAGGTTGTTGGTCATGCTGACGATGCTGCAGCAACATCCAGTCATATGCTCAACCCTGAAATGCAACGTGTACCTGGGCAGCTGTCTCAAGGGATTGTTCGAAAGGTCCAGATCTGTAAGGGATGTAGCTTTCATGACGGACTCTGGCAGAGATTGAATCTTGTTGTAACTCAGGTCGAGGGTAGAGAGGCAAGGTAAGTTGAACAAGCACTCGGGGAACAGGTTGAATCTGTTTGAACTTGCAGACACACACTGTAGATTCTCCAGTCTTGACAGCGCCTGCGAAGACCGTCAGGAGAGTTGGATGTCTTTCCTTGCATGGCACGAACTGGTGGCAGTTCGCGGATCATGTTCCTTCTCAAGTTGATATACCGCAGAGACTTGCAGTTTGCCAGGTCGCTGGTGATCTCCTCGAGGGAGCTGGGAACGAATCAGCCCTCTTGTTCGCATGTCTCACGTCAAGACTCACTTGCATTCTACGAACAGCTCCTCAAGCTCTGTCAGCGAGCCTATCCCCTTAGCGCAGATCTTGTATCTCTTGCCAGTCTTAGGATCGTAATCTGCCAACGTGATGATCTCTTCATGGGGAAGACGTCGGAGGCTGTTCCCAGTCAGCCACAGGGCTCGAAGTTTAGATAGTTTTCCGAAGGAGTGCGGAAGTTCTTTGATCTCGTTGTTGCACAAGCTGAGCTCGGTCAGGTTGGTGAGGTTGCAGAAGCGGTAGTCAATCTCCTCGATCTTGTTACTCTGTGACTCTCGTCAGCAGTGAGCATCTGAGAATTGCTCTCTCACCTTGATTGAAAGGATCTCGAGAGTTTCCAGCTGACTGAAGTCAGCATTGATAATCTTGAGCTCATTCTATTCGCATCAAGTTCAGTTGAGCGGTAGAAGAGGCCGAGATTCGCATCACCTGGTCGAGATTTAACACTCTCAGAGATCGAAGATGGAAGAATCTCCTGTCGAGGCTTTCGAGCATGTTGAAACCCAAGTGTCTGCAAGGTGAAGGCGTTTGAGTTGTGAGATATCGCCTGTATTTAACCTTACAGCTTCTCTATCCTCGGGCCCAGCAGCAGCTCCAGTGGAATTCGCGTGAGATTCTTTGAAGCGTAATCGAGGAATGGGATCTGATCTTTCTCTCGCACCAAGGCATAAGCGTCTTGACTGCGAGCGGCGAAGAAGCTCTCTCTTGCCTTCGCCCTCGCCGTTTGTTGCCTCCTCACTTCCCTTGCCGCAGCTGTCTTGGCCCTTTCTTGTTGCCTGCGCACTTCATACACCTTGTTTCCGAACGGAATGATCGATCTCTTGCTCTTATCAGTAGCGATCGCTGATTCCGTCTCCATCTCCTCCTCCTCCTCCTCCTCCTCCTCCTCCTCCTCCTCCTCCTCCTCCTCCTCCTCCTCCTCCTCCTCCTCCTCCTCCTCCCCCTGCTTCTCCCCCTGAGGGTACATGCTCAGCGCTCGCCGTTGCAAATCCCTTAGGCCAGAGGGACCCCTACCCCCTCAGATTCCCCATTGCACTTTCGAATCAAGGG